TCTTTCCTGCCTATGCAGGGGGTCGGACTCGATGATCTATTGAGGTCCCTTCCGACCCTAACATCTATGAATCTATGTTCCTGCTCAGCTGCCTCCCACAGCTGAGCTCGGCTAGTCCCCTCCCACCTCCTTCCCTAGCCTTTCATCCCTGCTCATTCCCTGCCGTATCTTTGTCCTTGAAAGTTTCCAGCCTCGCTCCTCCAGTTTCTCCTGTAATCGCTCTGTACATGCACAGTCTGGTTTCCTTGCCCTTGCTGCCGGCAAGGGTGGTATTGTCCCAGGTGTGTGCACTCACTTGCTGAGTGCATGAAGGCTGGGCATGATGCTCATCAGCCACTTGTGCACCATGGAGTGAGATGTAGGAGGAAGTTGGGCTTTAATTACAAGTGCCACTTGCCTCCTGCTCTGGTTGAGTTGTCCAGCAGGAAGGAAGAGGGGGTACTGAGGGGGCCTAGCAACCAGCCTTGGTGACCGGGCAGGTATGTAGAACCCGAATGTGGAGATCTCTCAGGGGCAAGGAGATCAGAGTCTCCAAGGAAGGCTCATTCGGCTGTCAGTGCCTTCTTCCTTTTCTCCCCTATTTCATATTTCTGCTCAAACTGGAACAATGCAGGAGAAGATGAGACAGGTGGAGATGCAATCTTTGGGACAAATCCTGCCTCTCCCACTATGGAAGAAGTGGTCTTGATGCCATCGGGCTGGTGTGCAAAGTATTGGGGCGCCAGAGAGTGCTGGATTGTGTCATAGGGGCCCTAGAGGCGAGGACTGCTGTGCACCTGTGCGGGGACCCGCTAGGGAATGGGTTGGCAGGAGGGGGGGGACCTTCCAAGGCTCGTCTCCTTCCTCTGCAGGGCAGAATGGAAAAGCCTTGTGTTTGCCTCCGTAGAGGCAGACTTAGCCCTTAGAGGCAGACTTAGCCCTTAGGAGACCCTCACACAGCTCTTCAGTGCCCAGCTGGTTACTCTGGCAGGTATGCAGCTCAGGAGTTGAACCATAGTCCTGAGCTGAGTTGTGGGGTGCTTCACCCGTTGTATGCTGAAATGCTTTGGTATTCTCAGATGGTGCCAAGGTCTTGGGAAGTGTCCAGGGAGGCTCCGAAACACTTGGCTAAGTGGAAGCAACCTCTGGAGACCTACACCTGCTTGTAAGGCATTCCTTCTTTATGGTGGCTTCTCTGTTGCTGTTATGTAGGCTGACTGCTACTACCAAGGATACATTGAAGGTGTCCCGAACTCAGCTGTGACGCTTAGCACCTGCTCCGGGCTCAGGTAAGGAAAGTATAGAGTTTATGAATTCCAGTACCTGCCTTATTTGGCATTGCTGTGGTTGCCATCCAGACTGTGGCATTGATGCCTACACAGTTGGATGGGTCAAAAATTGGCTGATGGGGCGCATCCAGAGAGTAGTGGTGGATGGGTTGTACTTGACCTGGCAGGATGTGAATAGTGGGGTCCCCCAGGGCTCAGTCCTGGGGCCTACACTGTTCAACATCTTCATCAGCGACTTGGACGAGGGGGTGGAAAACAGGTTGTTCAAGTTTGCCGATGGCACCAAGATGTGGGGAGAGGTAGGCACGCTCGAAGGGAGAGAGGCTACAATTAGACTCAGACAGACTACAGAGGTGGGCGGATGTTAATAGGATGGGCTTCAATGTAGATAAATGCAGGGTGCTGCACCTGGGGAGAAGGAATCCACAGCATACATACAAGCTGGGGAGCTCCCCCCTTGTGAGCACAGAGGTGGAAAGGGATCTCGGAGTCATTATTGACTTCAAGATGAACGTGAGCTACCAATGCCAGACCGCAGCCAGCAAAGCCAACCGCACCTTGTTGTGCATCCAGAGATGCATCTCAAGCCGGTCCAGAGAGGTGATACTCCCCTCTATGCGACATTGGTCCGGCCTCAACTGGAGTACTGCATCCAGTTCTGGACACCGCACTTTAAGAAGGATGTGGGCTGCCTTGAGAGGGTTCAGAGGAGGGCCACCCGCTTGTTTGGAGGGCAACAGGGCAGGCCCTATGAGGAGAGGCTGAGGGACCTGAACCTGTTCAGCCTCAGCAAGCGGAGGCTGAGGGGAGATTTGGTGGCTGCCTACAAACTCGTTAGGGGAGATCAGCAGCAAATAGGAAGAGCCCTATTCTCCCCAGCAGCACCTGGGATGACGAGGAACAATGGCCAGAAGCTGCTGGAGAACAGGTTCAGGTTGGAGATTAGGAGGCACTATTTCACTGTCAGGGTGGCTAGGATCTGGAACCAACTTCCTAGGGAAGTGGTCCTCGCTCCTACCTTGGGTAAATTCAAAAAGAGGTTGGATGAGCACCTGTCTGGGGTCATGTGATCCCAGCGTGTGCTCCAACCAGTGGCAGGGAGTCAGACTAGATGATCTATTCAGGTCCCTTCTCACCCCTAACTACTATGAAACTCAACCTTTACCCGGAGGCACAGCAGAGTTATTCTGAGTGGGGCAACCTACTTGTATTTTAGGACAGCCTGAAATTTCTGGTACTGAGTCACCTTCAGGAAAATCAGCCACAGATACCCTTGTGTTGTACCTGCTGGACAATGCTGGCTTCTGCCATTCTCAGTCCAGGAGCGCAAGCCGAGCGTAATGTAAAGCAGAACGCTTTGATTGCCGTATGAGTCTGGCACGTAGTTTGTTTTTTCAGAGGGCTGTTGCAATTTGAGAATGTCAGCTATGGGATTGAGCCGCTGGATTCCTCATCTGGATTTGAGCACCTTGTTTATCAAATAAAAAACGGATCCACCAAAAGGCCGCTCTTTGAGAACGATGACATGTTTAGAGATGGAGAGCAGGTGACCGGAGAGGTGTCCCGTACCCTGCACGTTGAAGTGAGTATACTCTCTAAGGGCAGTAGCAGGCGCTACGTGATTGCCAGCAGGCCAAAAGATTTTGTTACGTCGTTTTGTTGAACCTGAATTCTCGGGCATGGCAAATTCGGCGAGATGGCTTTGAACCTAGATTTAAACTGGGCCTGTGATATGCCCACGCTGTGCAGCCGCATCATATTATGAAGGAATGTATGCCACAGATGGGGGGCTCCTTGGGGCAACTCTTAGCCATTACTGTGTCGGGAAGAATGGTCTTGAGAAGCCCTGCCTCGTGTCATGGTCCATGCCTAGTGACCGCCGGCAGTGTAAGAACCTGGTGGGTTTGAGGGCATTAAGTTCCTTGGAGTTGTTTGTGCCCTAAGGAAGGTGTGGATCTCACGTCCCTTCTGTGTATGTGGGGAGCGGCTTTCTCTGAGCCTAAAGTTTGGTGCGCTAGTCTGTCATGTCTCCCTTTCCGAGAGTCAGGAGAGCAATGGTGGCGTGCTGGCTTGTGCAGAGCTTTGTAGACCCTTGGTAATAGTGCCAAGGGAGCATCGTCAATCACGAGAGGAGTTTGCAGCTGTGCAGGGTTTGCTTGTTCCCCCCCTAAAGTCGAATGAATAAGTTATCGTCAGTTCATCCGCCCTGCTAGATGGATAGCCTGGTGACCGTGTTTTTAAGCACCACAGCTGAAGTTGGATACCCCAGGCTTGCAGTGTTAATAAGGGACACAACAGTTGAAGTGTAGAAATAATTAATAAGTGTGAAGTCTTTGTTTCAGTTAGCAGCTGCCATTAAATCGGCCAGATATCTGGAACTGGCGATAGTTTTGGACAAGGGTTTGGTAAGTCTCAGTCCTTTTCTTCTTCGTGTCATACCCTCCCTTTACTCTTGTACACCACATAGAAATGGTCCCGTTTGTCCTGTCCCTCTAGAGGCACAGCGCAATCCAGAGTGGGCTGAAACACAGCCCTTGTGTAAAGTATAATAAGTCCATCCTCTGCCTAGGAAGGAAACCAAAGAAGTCACTAGATATTTTAAATGTCCAGAATTTGGGGCGTACGTGAACACCGCAGCGCCTCACAAGGGGAATGACATGCCCAAGGAAATGTGCTGTAAAGGTCACCTAAAGCACTGTGTTTATTTTTCAGTACAACTACATGGGGCCAGACAAGAACGTTGTAACGCAGAAAATAGTTCAGCTCATTGGCTTTGTCAATAGCGTAAGTCTGCTGTCTTTCTTGTTTCATACCAAAACGGCAAGTTGAATTGTTTTACTGCACCGTTTTCAAGGGCTGCGTCTTCTGCTGACTTTCCATAGAGGATTATTTACGTTGCTTTCCCCTCCTCGCTCTCGTAAAGCTTTGGGTTGTAGCAGCCGTGAGCTGTTGGAGGCAGAAAGGAGGAAGCAACCCCACGTGATACTGTTTTACCCCCAGCCGCTCGATGGCCTCGCATAGCCTGGCTTCTGAGGAAAACGGAAAGCCGTTTCCGAAAGACAGCCTTGTTGCTTAGCACAACTGTGTTGCTTGCCACCTTTAAATTAGGGCTGATTTAAAATGCTCTAGTTTTTAAACACCTGGCCCATGTCAGTGGTCGTTCACCTTTTGAAATGCAAGCCCCCCCCATTGCTAGACTCTGGGCACCCTTTAGAAAATGCCAGCTCTTGCCGCCCTGCATTTTTGGACTGAGGGGAAAACAATGGACCAGTTCTTTGGTGGTCAAGGGCTTGGGAAGACTGCCCCGGGGCAGAATGTTTTTTCACGCCATGGATTCCTCTGGGAGACCTCTGAGTGTATCGTGTGAACTGTGCATAGGTGCCTGCCTGTCGAAACGGGCTGTGGCACCCTGGCTGAGAATCGCCGGCCTCAGCAGTTCAACCCTGCCTAGCCTAGCCTAGACATAGCTGCTCATAGTCAATCCAAGGTCCGCCTGCTGGCTGCAAAGCAGCCGTTGGTCTGTCAGCGCAGTAGGCGCCATGCCACCCTCTGCTTTCGTCTGGTTGTTTCTGTCGGGCAAATCAGCCTTTTGGCTGCTTGTCTGTGCCTTCAAGCAGAGCGTGCTAAGCTGCCATAGCTACCTTACTGTCTGCCATGAGTGTCCACAGGGGAGAGAAATGCACACCCCGGCTTCCCTCACAGTCCTTCCCCCACGTGTTCAAGCTATGAGCTGTGGAGTCCCTGTGGCGGCTGCTTGCTAGTGTCTCCAGCTTTCCTTTCCTTATTTATACCAACTAGCTCTGCTGCGTGTCGTCTTGCTGCCCCACATGTGTCACATTTCCTGGCACGCTCCTCTGCTGTAAGAACAGGCTATTACCTTCTGCTCGTTGGACGCCATCTGCTTCAGACCCAAACCCCTTGCGTTTGCCACGGGAGTTGTGATCCTGCAGGCGTTTAAGTTTGTAACCCTGTATTCGTGAGCTGTCCATCGATTTCCGTGACCCAAGCTGGTCCAAAGTGCTGGGGTTTGCTCTTCAGAGCCAGATGGTATCATCTTGTTCTCCTGCACTTTTCTCTTCCCTGCCCTCTTTTTTCCCTGCAGTGGTGGCAGAGACTCGGTCGTGAAGAGCAGTGCTGGCGCATCACGTCCGTCTCCGAAAGCCGGGGGGTTGGGTTGCTGCCCGTAAAAATAAAGCACGGGTCTGCAGAAACAGTAGAGAATGCGTGTGTCTGATCTTGTATTTGCAGATGTTCAGCCGCCTTAACGTGACAATCGTTCTGTCTTCCCTGGAGTTCTGGACAGATTATAACAAAATCATTACAACAGGGGAAGCTAACGAATTACTACATCGATTTGTAAAGTGGAAAAACTCCCATCTTGTCCTGCGGCCCCACGACATGGCATATTTACTTGTGTAAGAGGAGCTTTTTTAGTATTAAGTAAGATATTGTTTGGGTTTTTTTAACCCGCGCGGCTTTGGGAAACGCGGATGACCGCGGCCCAAAAACTTCTGTTAGAAAATGAGAGAGGCGCAAACATCATTCTTGACTGACTCCATTTCCAAAAGTATTTTCAAGCCTCTCGGCTGTTTCTCTGAGCGAGAACAGAAAGCTTAGGTTCACGAAAAGGCAATAATCTACCGTGTCCTTGTCACCCCGTTGCCAAGTGCATGTTGCTGCTGAAGGGACTGTCGTTATGTTTTAGGTACAGGGATCACCCTCGTTATGCGGGGACAACGTTTGCCGGGAAGATGTGCGTCAGCAACTATTCTGGAGCCGTTGCGCTGGTACGGTATTGTTGGATGTCCATCGGTAGCGATCGCTGTAAGATTGGCTGCGGGCAAGTCAGAAGATGCTTGGCCTTTGGGTGTGGTGGAATAATCCAAAATTATTGAGCCCGCTATTCCACAAAGACGTAGGTACCGGTCTGAATATGTTGGCATCATCTGAGCCCGTAAGTATGTGCTTCTTTTAAGCAAGCGAGCGGTCCCACCTGCCTTTGGCAATACCGCTCCCAAGGTGACGCGCATGCCTGCTTGTAAGTGTCTTGCGGCCCGTGGGCCAGATGCTAGCTCCGTTCAGGGCTGAATTCCCAAGAGCGGGCACCTCGGGTCACGTCATTTGTGTTACCCATGCCCTGGCAAGTTGTTTCACACCTGCAGCATCTGCGCTGCTTGTGCTGGGATTTAGCACGGTAAATGGCAGCAGGAAATTGGAGGCAAGTCTTGTGTGGTCCTCTCCGTTACAGTACGGGGAATTGCCTCGAGGACAACTCGGAGAGAGCGGGCAGGAGAAGAAAGGGTTTGGTAAAATCATGGCTCGTTTGCTAAACTCTGGGGAATTGCTTGCTATTAATTCCCAGCTCTTTCTCCTTTGTTCAGTACCAAGACATGGTGACCCTGGAGAGCTTTTCCGTCATTGTTGCCCAGCTGCTGGGGCTGAGTCTGGGAATGACCTACGACGATGTGAGGACCTGTCAGTGTTCTGGACCCACCTGCATCATGCACAAGAATGCCATGTAAGGACCTGTATGGCATCCCTTCTCTCCCGTCGCTTTACTTGAATCTAGAGCTACCGCTCAGATGTCTGTAAGCTTTATCATCGGAAAGGACACGATTTTAGGAGGCAAATGGTTGTGCCGGAGGCTGAGCATATGTCCAGCAAAGCAGGAGTATCTTCAGCCTCCCCTAGCGTCCGTGCTGCTACCTCTGTACAGCACAGGGTGACTTGTTTCTGCAGGCCATGTTTGAAAACGAATCTCACCCATGGCTATGCCTGCGTATACGGCACGTGGTTATAGCGCGAGGGTCCTCTGACACGTCGGGTATAGAGTTTTTTGCTACGTTTGCCTTTGGCGGGTGCATCTAGCTAGGTGCAGAATTCACGGTTGGCTTACGCATTCTCCTCGGGGGTAATTTTTGGAAGTTACTTTTCTGTTGGCACGGGGGTATATACAAAAGGCTACCTGTCGAAGCCTGGCCTGGCCATTTCCACGGCAGGCAATAACGTGCGTGACCTCTGTGGGCCTCGCAGAGCAGAGAGCTCAAAGACCATCACCACTGCTCTTTGCTGGCAGGGAGCGATCTCGTTGAAATTGGTGGGGTTGCGTGCATGTAGCAGAACTCACATAGCCCGTGGCACGTGCTGGCCATGCCTTGACTTTTTCCCCAGGATGCGGCTTGTGGGTATTTTGAAATAAAACATGTAGCGCTAAATGGCCAAACCTCAAAATATTCTTTCAGTGACACGGTTTTGCCAACAGAGCCACTTGCCTGCTGTCGTTTCTGGCAAATGCAAGGCAACACAAAGTAGCACTGAGTCCTAGAGCTCTACAGCCCTTCTGACAGTGGCCTCGATCATTAAGCTCCGGGGACTGCAAATGAGTGCATTTAATCTGGTGTAGTCAATCCAGGTGAGAGCCCCAGTCTGGTAGACGTCTGTGGATGTGAGTACCGCAGTGCTCGCACACCCAAATGCCTCTAGGATCTAGACTTGCATCCGCTTTTGCCAAAACTCTTAATTAGCTGGTGGCAATTAATTAACAGGCGTGATATGAGTTTATGGGCCCAGAAATGCGGGGCCCCAAAGGGGCTCTTCTGGTCAGCTGGTCTGCCCTTCTGCGTTACACAGACCGAAGCACCTTACCTGATGATTTCGGCAGCAAACATCTCGTCTGTCACTGAGCAAGAAAGCATCTATTCAAAGGTCATGGGCATCAAGTTCTGCGTCCAGTGGGCAGGCATCCGTGATCTGCTGGGTGTTGCTGGGCTACAGATCTAAAAGAGAGCCGCTTACCTGCAGTTTTTTTCTTTTTGGGTAGAGAGATGTGAATTTTGCATTGGATGCCCTGGTTCGGGCTAGTGTGACGCTGTAAATGATGTGATGTTGTCTCTCCCGAGCGTTTACACCAAACAAAGCCTGTTCTATTGAATCCAGATACCTCAGGTGCATCTGCGCGTGCGTGGTGGGTTTATTAGAACATAAGCAGAAATCGAGCCTGATTTCTGACCCTTTGGTGATCATCCTCACATCCGCGGGTATTCCGTGTCGGAACCATAGGAAGAAAAAGGCAGAAGCGAGTGAGCGGGTATCTGTGATCACTTAATATGCGTGTCTTCTTTTAAGAAGGAAACAAAAGTAGGCTATGTCACGTCAGCTACCAATTACTGTCCTTTTTGGTTGTTCAGACCTTTGAGGTCTGTTTTAACCAAAGAACGGAAATATGTTCAGCTGGCTTTTGAAAGTTAGCGTGCCTGCTGCTAGTCCTCCAGCAAGATCCGTAACCGTTTTTAGGCTCTGGATTTTTTTGATTGCTCTTTGTTGTATTGTAGACTGTTCAGTGGTGTAAAAAGCTTCAGTAGCTGCAGCATTGGAGACTTTGAAACCTTTATTAAACATAGCGGAGGACACTGCCTTTCCAATAGGCCGCATTTGAATCCATCCTACAAGAGTCCAAGCTGCGGCAATGGTATTATAGAAGATGGAGAGCAATGTGACTGTGGCTCCGCACAGGTCAGTATGAAGCTTTGCCAGGGTAACGTAACAGGGTAGTGTTTTTGGTGCAACGTAACTGTGCGCTGACAGCCAGCGTGTGGTGGAAGCAGGAGGAAGTCCCAAAGGGCCTCATCTGTACGTATGGAAAAAATGCATGTTGACACGCGTCTCGTTGTTGCAACCTCAGGCTCGCATGGCTCTTGGAGGTTCTTCAGGGTGACGATTCTGGGCAGACCGAACATTTAGAGGAGAGGACAGTTAGACCATGTAGGCTAATCACTTTTGCCTTTTTTCCAGGAATGCACACAGAATAGATGCTGTACTACGGGGTGTAGATTAGCAAGAGGCGCGCGGTGTGCTACTGGGTTATGCTGCTATAGTTGTCAGGTAAGGCATGAGTTTTGCCTGTCAACAGCTAGAAGTGCAGGGCCCCAGAAGCCCTGCACTGATCTCCTTGACAGCTGGCAGGCTTCGTGGCCGTAGCAGGGGCTATCACCCCTGCAGTTTTCAGCCCGCTGCTTCTTAACCCATGCAGGGTCATCTATGTTGCGAGTTTTGCCTGTCAGCAGCTTGAGGTGCACTTCCCCCCCCAAAACCCTGCACCGATCTTCTTGAAACTTGGCAGGCTTCGTGGTCTCGCTGGGGCCACCACCCCTGCAGTTTTCACCCCCCTGTGGCATAACACATACACGTGACATGAGTTTTGCTTTCAAGAATTTGGGGTGCAGTTCCCCCTGAACCCCTGCACTGACCTTCTTGAAACTTGGCAGGCTTCATGCTCTCAGCAGAGGCTACCACCCTAGCCTAAGAAGGGTTGAGAAGCACTGCTCTGGGCACTGCCTTAGGGGACTGGTAGCAGACTATGTCAAAGAAAGGACTCTAGATATTTATTCTCTTTCGCTCTAAGTTCAGGCAAGCCTGCCCTGCCCTGCCCAGCTTTGCAAAGGCTGCAGGCAGAGGGAGGGCTCCTCTGGCAGCGAGAGCGACAGTAGCTGTGCTCAAAGAGAGAAAGCCAAGGATAAGTGAATTAGGGGAAGTGCTAGTGGCAGTGACACGCAGCAGCAGCTTGGTGGTGGCGCGTTATCGTCGCATAATCCCACGGGCCGCGCGTGCTGGACTTGAACATCACCGGGTAGGATGTTTACGGGCGATGATTATTCCTATCTCTGTCCACTAGATAAAAGCAAGGAACAGGAAATGCAGAGAGAGGGTGGATAATCAATGCGATCTCCCCGAGTTCTGCAACGGGACCTCAGCGTTCTGTCCACAGGACGTCTTTGTCCAAAATGGGCACAAATGCGAGCGCAACGCCGGCTACTGTTACAACGGGTATTGCCAGGCTGCTGACCTCCAGTGCCAGAGAATCTACGGGAGAGGTAATGCGGGCAACTGTTCCAATGTTTTCCCACGTCCAGTGCCAGAAACCTGTTGTAGGAGCGGTAGTAGCAAACACGGTAATGGTACTGAACGTCGTACTTGAACAGCTGTCTTTGTTCTCATTAAGCCTCGTGCTACCGGCAGCGGCATTTGAGAAGGGCTGACGGACGATGTCCACGTTCCTCTCTGATTGTAACCCATGTTACGTCTCAACTTGCAGGTTCCAAAAATGGCCCTGATGCCTGTTACGAAGAAGTCAATAGTCAAACCGATAGGTTTGGCCACTGCGGAAATGATCCAAACATGGGATACAAAAGCTGCAGCTGGATGTAGGTCTGAGGAAACGGATGTCGCTATTCATTTCAGTGCGACTCTGATGTAGACGGATGTTCGTCATCTGTTCCTCTGAAGCTTTGCTTTCATGGCTTCCTCAAGTTCCCTTTGCGGGGAGCTGGCTATTCCTAGTCCATAGCCCTAGCGTTTTCCAAGGACCTTGCCTTGCCTACCTAGCCCTGGCTCCTGGGGCAGAAGCAGCCAATATAAGGAGGAGTGTCTCCCAGGTAAGGAGAAGGAATAGGCATAGCCCTCGGCTGTGGACAGACCGAGTCGCAAGCATCTGGCACGCCTGGCTCCTCTGCTCCAAGGGTATGCGATAAATAAGAGCAGGTGGCGTGGGCAGTGGCTGGACATGCCTGGAAAGACAGGACCCTGAGCGTCACCCATAGCCTGCACGCCCTGCCCAGATCTACGCGGCTTCATGCCTGGCAGGAGGACCCTGACATAGTTTCATAGTTGGTAGGGTTGGAAGGGACCTGAGGAGATCATCTAGTCCGACCCCCTGCCATGGCAGGAAAGAGTACTGGGGTCAAACAACCCCGGCCAGATGTTTGTCCAGCCTTTTTTTAAAGACCTCCAGGGTAGAAGCCAGCACCACTTCTTTTGGAAGTTGATTCCAGGTCCTAGCCGCCCTGACCGTGAAATAGCACTTTCTAATATCTAGCCTGAAACTACCCTCCGCTAGCTTGTGTCCGTTGTTTCTTGTAACTCCCGGGAGTGCTCGGGGAACAGGGACTCTCCCAATGCCTGCTGGTCCCCCTTGACTAGTTTGTAGTCAAGGGGGACCAGCGGAGTGTGCAGAAGTGCTCTCCTCTCTTGACGGAGCAATCTTCTCACTTCCCTTCCCCGTGTGCTGGTTTTTGTTTGGTTGCTGGGTTTTTTGGGGGGTCCCGTACTAGCCGCACTCTCCCTCCTTATCAGGCAGGCTTTATCTTCTTTGATGGTCGAAGCGATCTGGTATTCCGTGTAACTGTATGTCCCTCTCCTGATGACTTTTATAGGAATCTCAAGTGCGGGAAGTTAATTTGTACCTATCCAATTCGTGTTCCATTTATTCAAGAAAACACGGCTGTGATTTATGCTCAAGTGCGTGAGGATCTGTGCGTGTCTTTAGATTACATGCAGCCAGCCACAGCGAAAGACCCGATGATGGTGAAAGACGGCACAATGTGTGCTACTGGCAAGGTAGAGAAATATATCATAAAGGGGTAAAAAGTCAGCCTATGGACTGCAGAATTGGATGGATGTTTAGAGGCTTTGACACTGCAGTGTAAGCTCTTCCAGTGACCGTATCCATGCTGTTGCATTTGTCACTCGCTCCCTCAACAGCCAGGGTCGTTTTTTCCATGCAGCGTATGCCGAAGTGGTAACTTAGCACGAGAGAGGTGACTGCGTAGCAGTGTCTCCGGCCACTGCTTTGCTCTGCTTTGCTAACATCTTTGCGCCTCTGTGCTTGAATCGTTCTGCTGCTTTGTAATCCTCGATATGACTTGTACCGTAGCAGCATCGAGGGCCCAATGTCCCCTAAAGACGGGTCACGTGCTGAAATGCTAATAGTCTGCGGAAACGTCTTTGATGGGAGCCCCGCTGCTTGTTTGCCGTCGCCAGGGTCGTAGCGTGAGCCTAGCCAGGGTATGAGTCTGCAAGCCTGTCTAGCCACTGTGGCAGAGAGTGGCTGCAAAGAGGAGGAAGGGGTGTGCAGGGCCTATCCAGACCGACCTGTCCCCTGCCCTTCCTCCATAGGTTCATAGACGTTAGGGTCGGAAGGGACCTCAATAGATCATCGAGTCCTACCCCCTGCATAGGCAGGAAAGAGTACTGCTGGGTTTAGATGACCCCAGCTAGATGCCTATCTAACTTTCTCTTGAAGACCCCCAGGGTAGGGGAGAGCACCACCTCCCTTGGGAGCCCGTTCCAGACTTTGGCCACTCTAACTATGAAGAAGTTCTTCCTAATGTCTATTCTAAATCTTCTCTCTGCTAGTTTATGGCCATTATTTCTTGTAACCCCCAGGGGCGCCTTGGTGAGTAAAGCCTCACCAATTCCCTTCTGTGCCCCCGTGATGAACTTATAGGCAGCCACAAGGTCGCCTCTCAACCTTCTCTTGTGGAGGCTGAAGAGGTCCAGGTGCCCTAGTCTCTCCTCATAGGGCTTGGCCTGCAAGCCCATCGATACGAGTGCCCCTTCTCTGGACCCTCTCCAGGTTATCCACATCCCTCTTGAAGTGCGGCGCCGAAAATTGCACACAGTACTCCAACTGCGGTCTGACCAGCGCCCGATAGAGGGGAAGTATCACCTCCTTGGTTCTGTTCGTCATGCATCTGCTGATGCACGATAAAGTGCCATTAGCTTTCCTGATGACTTCGTCACACTGAC